ACAAACGAGTGTGTGTTTAAATTTAGCTGCTCATCTGGCAGAGTGCTGTTTGATCAAAGGAGAGAGAAGTAGAGAGGAGCAATGAGAGAGCATAATGGGAAAATGTCTTCTGGCAGGTTTAAGAAAGAGAAGATTCTGTCAGAAGACAGAGCAGAGAGACATACAGGAGAACACAAACACACCTATCTTATCTCTGTGTGTGGATCTGAGTGGTACAGTATGTAAAAGTAGTAAATTTGGGAGAAACGTATACGAAAACAGACAGGAGAGCAGAAGGAAGGGACGGAGAGAGAGAGCGAATAACGAGACAGGACGGTAGGCAAGCGATGTGCTCTGAGAAAGTGCTACGAGTGGAACAAGTCATACTGAGGTATTGATCAATATTTTCTGCCTGCTGCTCGCAAATGACAGCTTGAACAAAGCTTTCTCCACGGAGGAGCTGACAGCTGCAACGGCTGCTTTTATGGAGAGCAGGCGCGGCTTTATGTGTGTCTGGGGGAAATTTAAAACTTATGCAGGCTTCTCAGTGCTGTCCTCAGATCAGAGCATTTTAATAAGGCGCTGTTATGTCATTTCATGGATATTGCCTTATTGAGCATGGCAGCTTTATGGTGAAAAAGAGCAAGTCATTGAACCAGATCTCAATAAATTACTGTGAATAAAGTCCGAAGCACATCAATTTAAGCACTTTTGCCCGGGTTTCCCAGAAACGTCACGTGGTACTTCCCTCAGTAATATCACTGATGTGTCCACTGGCAGCAGAGAAAGCAAAGAGTAAACTATTTGGGTGAATGAAGTATCAAAAAATGGATGTTCAAAACAGTGCACCCAAATTTAAACTGCCCCCCAGTCTATTGTTTGCCATCTTTAGTGGAAACAACTGTAAATAATCAAAACTAAGCATTAGATTAACTTAAAGGGGGGGTTTACGCTATATGTGCAGCCACATTCAAATGACTGGATTTTTCTTTCTGAAGACATTTATAGATTCTAGATTCTGGATTCTGGGGATTTGTGGGGTTTATTTTGTTATCAAAATTACATTTTATGTTAAGTTCTGAACAGAAAATCATACTGAAACTGAAAATGTGTAGAGTCGTACGCACTAGTTTTCGTACCCCTTGACAATTTTTTTTTTGCAGGGAAATTTTTAATTCTGCTCCATGTAGAGTGAATGTGTTAAATTTTCACTTTAACAATCAACAAAACATGTCATTTGTTCTGACTTTAGCATATGACTGTATATCCTTAAACACCTACTAAGTACTGAACTACAGAAAGCAGTACAGCTCTCATCCAGCTTATGCTCTGCTAAGAAACTACAGGATAAACCAGCAATGTTACATTTCTAAAGCACAAAAAGGATAGAAATGATAGTCAGACACTGTCACCACTGGCTTCTATATGTCTGTCACACACAAATTCAGACCCACACAAAGAAAACTAGGGCTGTCATTATGCGTTACATTAGTAATTGTGCACTTGGGTAATCTAAAAATTATTCTGATGATTATTTGAATAGCAAAAGTCAGAGTACATTTATTTATTTTTCATTTGAATACGGCCATTATGTGCAAGTCATTTTTCAGCATCAGAAAAAAAACAGAAAACATATTTAAGAGAAAATTACACTGAAGCCTCAACAATTAACATCACATACCAGTTTTCAGTATTTAGTGTGCCTTTACAGGATTCTTGCTTTCAGTTTTTGAAGAAATCCGCAGGGATATTTTTCCAAACCTCCAAAGTTTAGTCTCGGAAGTTGGTTACAGTTTCGGCTTCTATTGCTATCGCTTCAAAAATGAGTAACTTATACTTAATGGCTGTTTTGACTAGAAATTAAACAAATGAAGGGTAATCTCTGACTTTTGCAGAGTACTGTATACACAAAAAAGCACATTAATAGTGTGTTCACCAGGCTTTATTTCTTTCTGGGAGAGAAAGCAGTGGATTTTATCATTAAACAAATTTGCAAACTGCCAATCAATCATTGTCAATAGACCTATGAAGCTAACACTCCTGCGCACAGAAATGACGTTGTATGAAAGTACAAATAGTCTACTATTAATTTTCAGCACTGTTACAGACCAACACCTGCTGCACAAACTGCAGCCTGAAACTGCCAAAACAACTTAACTACCCCATTTGACTAGGCTTGCTGGTTTGTATGGAGTATTTTGATGAGGTTGCCAGTCTTATGAAGTTCAGTGCACAGCAGCATTAGCTTGCATGTAGCAATATTTGTATTTCAACCCCTTAATGACATGATAATGCAGAAGATCCAGTATCATTTGGAAGATAAATGCACATCTGACAAATCGTATTGGTTTGGGGCATTATTGTTTAGCTCAGGGTGTGATAGCAGGGATTTTCTCTCATAGAGAGATCTGCTTAGATCTGGAGGTCCCTAGTATGGGCATGAACGTGACTACAGAATGACACATGACTTCAGAAGTCTAAGGTGTAAGTGTAATATATAAAACAATTTGTGTTATTCCAGCCAGGAGATTTATCCCACTTCCACAGATAACAGAAACTCAGGGGCGCTGGGTTGAAGAATACAGGATTCTTTTCTTCCTCCCTCCACATATACAATGCCCTCTTTTCTCAGATTGCATCATACCCTGTACTCAGACACTGTATGGCTGCTGAGCATACAGAAAGTGCTGACTTGACACACGGACAGCCCTGTGTTGTTAGTGTTGCATAACTAACACCGCAGCTCTGCTCCAGAGCACACAGGCGTGGAGAATGCTGATGCTGAGAGGGCCTTTAGAGACTACCGAGCCTGATAGCAGCTAGCGCTAATGTTACAACTACAAAACCATGAAGCAGTTAATGCAGACTAGGGAGAAAATCAGCTGATGATTAGATTCCATTTACTAGCACCAATGTCTCTCTATGTGTCATATACGAAAAACACATTCATGAATGTGAATTTATGGTTAAGTTGTAAGGTTATTTATATTTAGATTGTTTAAAACAGAAAAGTGAATAAGGACAGTATGCATACATTACAACAGCTGACTGAAATAAAAAAAATGAACAATAAACACTAATGAACAGCTGGAATGAGCCTGTTCTTGTTTTGATTCCATTAACAGTTAATGGATGATATTTGTAATGATAATCATAATGAGTGCTGTTAAATGTGTAACAAAACCTGTGTGAACTGAAACAACAGCAGTCATGTAAATGGGTAACAGCAACTGCAGTACAGTATAGTCTATCAATTAAAAAGGCCCCATATCCTATAACCGCCTTGCATTCCCCTTGAGGTCCACTTATAATGTTTGTTTGGTTTTATGTACCAAAAAACAATCACAACTCATTTTTACATGACCATTTTCCAACCTCTCATTTACGGATGTTATGTACAGACTCATTAGGGCAGATTTACTAAAAGAAGCGCTAAGTATCAATGGTCCAGAGACAGTCTGCCCTGGTTGGGGTTATATACTAAGAACTATAACGCAAATTAACACAGGCGCAACTTTGTGGTTCACATATGACCAGTGCAATAGAAACTCCTGTTTTGCTCATGTCCTTTGTGTGTGGAAGACAGTTTCTGCCAGGTGGTCCATAATTGTTTTTTTCCTCTCTATATTTCTAGCAGTAGTATTTCCATATTTTTACATTTTATGACAAAAGTTTTACTTTTCATCTCAAATTATTTGTTTTCTAGATATACCAACCCAAGTAAAAATAATGGCTTAATATGTTACAATAATGACTTGTTTTCTCAAGGTTTTAACTTAGTACATCTATATAGTATGTGTAAAAAAGGGGTTAATTTTCTTTGAGCAAGGATTGTTTTCTGAAATAATAACTAATTACTCTGATAAAATCTTTCACAGGCGTCAAATGGTGCACAAAATCAAGTCAGTATTTACTATCAGACTCTGAAAAACAGAGTAGGTGGGTTCATTATAATAATCTCTTCCAGGTATTTTGCGCTTTGAAAGGAAAACTCCTATGAATGTACATGCAGCGAAGCAAAAGCCCAAAAGAGCAGCGGACGATGCTTTAATGCTGTTATGGCCGCTAAGGGGCCACTGCTCCTACGCAATAAATTGCAACATTCACTTTTTAACACCAAAATAGGGTCTGCAACAGCGCATAACGTTAGTAGTTCTGCCCCTCTGTGTCAGCTTCAGAAGACATTTAAAAGGTTTTCCACAAAAAAATAACAAAAATAATTCTGTCTGGCATTTGATATACAGTTCTCAGTGAAGTGTTTCGACTTCCTGTCCTTGCACCCTTCCCCACAGAGATAAAGGATCTGACACACCAAAGCCTATTTTGATCTCCTTGCCCTTGATTGACTGAGGTTGAATTAAATTGGAAATAAATGAGGTAGCTGGGAAAGGAATAGCACTTTTGATTTACTCTCAGTGTGATTTATGGGCCTGACGCTAATCTCGATGCTAATCCTGAACATTGCGGTGATGAATGTCTGACATGAGTCATTCAAAGAGCCCCATTACGAGTGCTTCTGCTGACACAAACATATGTGCGCATGAATTACTCCACTGTGAGGAAGCCTCAGAGGATTCACTACATCAGCTCAATTACCCAGTAGAATACTTTACACCTGCCAGCATTATTTCACACATGAGACAAATGGAGATTAATTCAAATAACCAAAAGTGCATTGCTTCAGAGTGTTTAATATAACCACATACTAATATCATGTGTAGAAATAACACAGTGACATGAAGAGAGTGTTGGTAACTTTGTATTGGATGTAAATTGCACATTCAGAAATACATTGAGGACCATGAAGCAGATTAAGAAATACCTTCACCTAATTATATAAACACAGGATCTATTTTAAGAGTTGCTAGAAGATGCTGTCTGTTGGAGATGTAAAGGGTTATACATTATCGTAAGGGTTATACATTATTGTACCTGTGTGAGTATATGTGTGTGTGTGTGTGTGTGTGTGTGTGTGTGTGTGTGTGTGGACATCTGTGTAATGAGACAGGTCAGTGGTCTACCTGGGCCCACATTGAGGTTCCTCATGGTGTCCTTGGCACTGACTCTGTTATTAGGAGGGTAGTCTGGCACTGGGGCTTCATAGCGTCTTTCCGGAACGCGTGGACTGGTCTTACTGGGGTATGATCTAGATTACGGAAAAGGACAAGGACAGGAGTTACTGCTGACAGATACAAGCTACAAAGTTGCTTATATGCTGTGTTTTTCCAACAGCATTCAACATCTCATAATTTATTTGCATTATTTTGAAAGAACTGCTCTGTTACACACATATTATCTAGTGCTTATCCTCCTGGGTCACGGGGTTGCTGGAGCCTATCCCAGTGGTCACTGGGGAGAAGGAAGGAAACACCTGTATACAATTTAGTATCTCCACTTCGCCTGACTGCATGTCTTTGGACAGTGGGAGCACCCGGGGGAAACCCACACAGACCGGGGAGAACATGCAAACTCCACACAGAAAGGACCCTGGTCACCCAGCTGGGGAAACCTATGCTGTATACAGATTTCCTGTTAAATTAAAATCATAAACAGATATGGTTTGTATGGCCAACCATGTTGCAACCAGAGAGCCCTTAAAATAATCTGAGGTACAGGATAGCATATTCTCCTTATACTGACTATAAAATTTTAGGCTAAATGATTCATTGGTGTAAATAGGATTAGTGTACAGCCTTCACTTATTAAGAGCTTGCAAGCTTCTCTGTTGTAGCTAATACAGCGTTTTGGCAGTAAGTACATAAACCATGTGCCAGAATTAGGCTGTACGAGTTTCTAATTTGGCTCTGTGACCTTTAAGCCAGTTCTGTCCTTCACCCAATATTTTTTCGAAAATTACATTCATCATTATTATAAGTAGGGATGTCCCGATCCGATCTCAAAGATCGTTATCAGGGCCGATCAAGGCATTTTTTCATATCGGCTTTATTGAGCATGAATCTATGCCCGATCCTTTGTTTTACGTCAGCGGTCACATGGGTGTCGTAGGAGAGCGCAATTTGTGGCAGGACGCTGCTGAAATGTCTACCGCGTGGAAATATTTTAAAGTGGAGAACGAAACCAGTCCTACAGCCATGTGTAATGTATGCAATGTGAGCATCATTTCGCGAGGCGCTAGTAACAGAGCTGATACAGCACCTAAAAAGTAAACACTCAGCAGAATACAGCGAGTTTACTCAGCTAACTCAGGCAAAGGCTGCACCAAAGCAACACACACTAAAGCAAACTTTTAAAAGAACAGAGACGTTTTCTCGAGACAGCAACATGGCCAAAAAGATTACTGAGAGAGTAATCGAGTTAATCGCTTTGGATGACCAGCCTATCGCTGTGGTAGAAAACAGGTTTTTTTTTTACGTCATTTGGAGCCACGCTACGCCCTACCTTCTCGACACTACATTCCAAACACGGCCATACTGGAGCTTTTCACCAAGGTTCGTGAGCACGTACGAGATCTTCTATCAGATGTGAGTGCTGTTAGCTTTACCACAGACATTTGGAGCTCTGATGGTTTCCCCGTCATTACTCAGCCTCACGGTGCACTGGATTGACTCGACTTTTGATGTAAAGCGTGTTGCATCTGCGATTTCCCTCACTGGCTGCTATTGCAAACAAGTTTCTCTGTGCCCCCTGTACAAGTGTAGACAGAGAGCGACAGTGAGCGACCAGTCTCAAACGTCACTGATGAGAAGAGGAACCGCGGCTGTCACCTAACACGGCAGAGATGCTGATTTTCCTCAAAAAACCCTTAACTTCAGTTTGAGGTGAGAGTCAGAGTGTAGATAACTGAATAAGAGAAAGGAAAAACTGTAGCAGCTCCAATAAAAGCACTTTAAGAACTGGCCTTCCCAGATAACAAAAAAGTCCAATGCACATTTATTATTTTGATATTCAGGTTTTACTGTAATGCTGTTAATCTAATAAGTGGAAACATATATTGTTTTTTTACATGTTCAAGTTAAGCTGCTACACCACTTAAGTGGAATTGAGATTTCTGATTTTTAGTTTTAGTATACTGTTTTTACTATAATGCTGCACTAGGTGGAATTTCGTTTTTTATTTGTCATGATTGTTGATGTTAAGCTATTACACTTTAAAGTGAAATTATAATTATATTACTCATTTTGAGTGTTATAGTTTTACTACTGCACTAAGTGGAATTTATCCAAGCTATTTATGAAGACATCTTTTAGTTTGTTTACTTGGTTATTTTGTAAAAATAATTTTAAAAAAAACATAGCTTGGATGCAGGCATTTTTTTTCTTAATGCACTGCAGAGCTATACAGTTGTGAAGCATATACATTGGATTGATTTTAATAACTAATGTACTTGAATTGTGCATTGTGCAATAGTATTATCTAGGAAAATATAAGTATCGGATCGAGACTCGATATCGGAAGATGGTCAATGTTAAATGACTCGGATCGGGATCGGGGGCAGAAAAAACTTGATCGGGACATCCCTAATTATAAGGAATAATTAAACAGGCTGCCATTGATGGCTATTTTGGCTGCCACACCCAATTTATTTCAGTCCTCATTCTACAGCACACAATCTGTGTAATTGAAAATAATACTTTATTCTCCTTCAAAAGGGACAGTGTTCATAAAATTAAATTAGTTCTTCATCATTAGCTGATACTTTATCAAATCCTCATAAGAAATGCTTCTAAATTTAAATCAGAAATTTGTCCAGTAAGCAATAAGCAGCTGGTATTTTCAAATAATATCCAACAACAAAAAATGGAATAAAGATTTTGTTCGGACTACTATGGTCAGTATGTTTAAGCATGCTTTAGCCTGTAACTCACCCTACAGGGCAATGCTGCTCGTCAATAGCATCCACTGCGCTCTCCACGGAGTTGAGCAAGGATTGAATTTGATTGGCTGATTCCTTCAACAGGAAGCGGGTCACAAATTGCTCAATGTTAGTTCCCCTTTCATACACCTGTTATAAAGAGAGAGAGAGAGAGGTAGAAGCAGAATCAGCACTTTGCAGTGGGTCTTATGTGTGCATATACAATGAGACCTTGTCTAAGCCTTTCAGCAAGCTGCACTCCACCAGAAGGGTTTTAGCCTAATGCCACATAACCAACCCTGCGACTTTGTAAATGTCGAGTGTGGCATATGGTTAAATGAGTGCGCTGTTTCTGAAGTGTGGAGGGCAAATTACAACAAAGTCAAATGAGTATGGTAATAGCAAGAAGAAAGACAGAGACATAAAAAACTAGCGAATTCAAATGACATCTCAAGGGCTGTGATTGCTTCCTTGATTACTATGATGGCTTAAAAGTGAAAGATCAGATACTAAAAGGTCATTTGGTATTGGATGTTACAGAATTGCATGAATATTGACATGATGACATTTCTACAGCTTCATAATTAAGACATCAAGTGTGAACATCATGTGAGATGCAAATGGACTTGGGAGGTTTATAGGTCCTGAGCTATTCCTTCTTATAAAGATGGCTACATTTACATGGTAAATTATAACAGGTCTTACTGTTCACATGCTTTCTGCTAGCGATGACACTGACAATCATAATGCAGCAGAATAACACTGCTATGTATTACTCCACTTGTTAGTATGGGGCATAACCAGTGGTCAAATTAAAGAATTTCAAGGCAGATGGTGGATTTTGGCCAAATTCTCTATTCTCTATAAAATGATCTACTTTCAAAAGTAAAGATGGACTAAATTCAATCCCAAGTCTGGCACGGATCCGATCACTGATACAACACAAAATTACTGAATTTCTTGGTCTTTAGAGAAACAAAGTTTTTCTGAAAACTGAAAGATGACTTTGGGGTCTTCGTGAAATAGGGAGTCCCATAAATGGTATGGTTTTTTATCCATTTTAGCAAAACCAGCAAGAGCTCCACGTTCTGGATGTTTGCACACATAAGCTATGAAAATCAGATCAATTTGGAGGTTTTTGAGACATTTGAAGTCACATTTGTGTCATTGTGTAGTCAGCATAATCACCATAGAAGGAGCTCTGGGTCCTAAGTTGTTTTTCTGTATGACAGAAATGAATGCAATTTTTGAACCTTGCTGCTGTTGCATCCTCTGGTAAACAAATATGTGTACATTTTTCAGAGTGTCACTGGATCCTCTGAATTGTGAGGTTGTTCAGCAGACAAAATATAAATAATGCTACAAACAAGCTCGCACTCCAGCACACTGAAATGATGTCACATGAAAGTAACAGCAAACCTGGAGTTCCAAATATGGGCATTATGCTGACTACAGAATGATGATACAACTTCAGAGTTCTGTAGAAATGACAGTCTAAACAGTTTCGGTTTTGGTTCAAGGAACTATTAACACTGGAAATATGTGGATTTTTTTTATTGGCCCAGAAGCGTCCACCATCCGGCCTGAAAAAATACTAAGGGAAACACACACACACACACACACACAAAAAAGGTTTTGCTCTTGAAACATGGTCCTTATAATATTTAAAAACAAAGACACATCTTCATCAACACTATCAACCATGAAACCAAATAATGAGAAATACTGCATACTGTACAGTGCCCATAAATATTGTCTCACACTCCTAATGACTCAACTTCTGATTACTGAAAGTGGGGTCAATCTTTTTCACTCTAGATCGCAATACTTCCCACAGGCAGAATATCAAATTTCAGCCCTTCAGTCATTGCCTAACAATGATGACAAAACTTGTGACATTAATATAATACTGCTAGCTTGCTGACTGCTGGACTTTGAAGCTCCTCATGGTGGCCAGAGCACAAGCCAGTCTTCATTACTGCTTGCAAATGAATACTAAATGCAAAGCAGGCATGAGGTAGAGTTCAGCTGGACTGCAGCGCTGGCTTCTCTGACACAGCTGGTGAGTTATACTGCAATGCTATGCAGACTCATGCTGACTGTGTATTAGAGAGGATTAGAGGGAAAGTTATGGAGAAGAAAAAAGATAAGAATGAAGGAGACGGCAAACGCTGCCCACCTGGCTGGACAAAAAGCCGGCGGACGGGGAGTGTGTGAGGGGTAGGTGGCTGTGCGTGTGTGTGTGTGAGAGTGAGGGTCAGTATGATTAATGCCAGCAATCTGCCGGTTCAGCAGTTCCGCACTGCGTTTTACTACCACTGAAGGATTCAAATATCATAAGCCGCACTAAAGCACTAGCTGCCAATGCAGAGCACAGATCTTTTGATGAAGACTTGATGAAGAGAGCAAAAGACTGCGAGGATTGTGCGGGAGGCAGCAAGGCTTTCCATCAATGCAACAGGCCCATAAAGTACACTCAATGCTGAGCATTAGAAATATCACTTACAGCAACCTACATCTGCAGCCAGGAGGAATGCCAAAGCATTACTGGGAGAACGTTTATTCAAGTTGTGAAGAAAACAAGAGACAACAGCTATAAAAGCAACAAGGTTGAAGTGAAGTGGTTCATTTTGATACAAAACACTTCATCATTTCCTGTCACAAGTTCATTTATGATGGGTAAAACTGAGTAAAAGCATACTTATTGTGTGTAGAGAATAGTGACGGGAAGTTTGATTCTTTTTACCGAAATTTGATTCATTGTAAACTGTTCGCTTCAATGAATCACCATAGTAGGAACTCTGGAACTAAGCTGGTTTTATGCATGATATAAACGAATGGCATTTTTGAACACTGCCGCTGTTGCATCCTCTGGTAAACCAAAATGCCCCAAACCCAATACATTTGGTCTTGTGTACATTTTTTCCCGAGTGTCATTCAATCCTCTGAATTATGAGGTTGTTTAGCAGTCAAAATACGAATAATGCTACAAACAAGTTAACACAGCTTGCGCGCCAGCACACTGGACTTTACTAGTAAATTTCAACACTATTATATACCAACATCAGCTACTCAAACTACAGCCTAAAACTGCCAAAGCCTTTAAACCACATTTGATAAAGCCTACTGATATCTGAGGGGTATTTTGGTGAGGTTATAATAATATCATTATAATGTCAATTCAATGCATAGCAGTGTTGGCTTGCATGTACGAATAGTTGTATGACCTCATAATTCAGAGGATCAGGCAATATTTAGACGAAACATATCCATATGGCATAATGTATCAGCTTTGGAATATTTTTGTTCACCACAGGACATAATATTAATGATTTTCCAAAATTTATTCCAACCAATTCATTTTCTTGTCATAGTATCACACTGGGTTTTGTGTAAATCATGAAAAATTATTATCCAAATTTTATTAGAACTATTCTGCCTATAATACTGATGTAAATATTGCAAAGGTGTGACAAAAAAGATGCAGCTTTTGAATCAGTTTGACTGATTCACTGAGAACAATCAGTTTAAAAGAACCATTTGTTAGTGAATCAGATATCTCTGGAGAAACTGCACAATAAAAACCTCCTTCACTGTTATAATATCACTGTAACACACAAACTCAAGTGGCTTATTGTTTTTATGAAACAATGACAAAATACAATATGATACCATATACCAATAAAAAAGTTAATTTATTATTAATAATAGAGGTACTCTCAGTACTGTGTACTGCCTGTGTTCTGTTTTGTATTTATTGTAAGTCTTTCGTATTTATTTATTGTATTGTATTGTCTGCACTGTGTATTTTGTATTGTCTCACACTTGTGTTCCTGTGTTGCACCATGGTCCTGGAGGAATGTTGTTTCATTTCACTGTGTACTTGTATATAGCTGAAATGACAATAAAGCTTGACTTGACTTGAGGTGCATAATGGCACTGGATTAATATCAGCAATGGCAGATAATGGCTGTATTTATTGTAGACCGGGAGAGCAGAATGTTTAGGAAATGCTGGACTGCAGTTTCATTTGTTTTACTGCATTTCTAATACTGTAAATCCTATAATAAATAGAAATCCTATAATAAATGTTGTACTGCTCTAAATCACGTAGATGCAGTCTCAATTTCTACATTTTATGTTTATGTACCAGCATTGGTAGATATATATATGTGAAATATGTGCATCGGCCCACAATTCTCATACTGTTGCATCCCTAATGAACAATAATCACACTGAACACTTCTTCCGCCAAGAAATGGAATTCAACTGATGTGCATTTGTCATTTTTATAAGTTGGTGTTTTACCTATTTTATAACTGACTGGCTGAATGAATAACCTGGTGGGTTCAAACCTGAAAGGAATGTTGATGTAGTCTCAACAAAGCCCACAGCCCATGTCGAATACAATCAAGCCTGCCACTTTACAGTAAAATGATGAGTGGACACATTTGGGTGTGTGACAAATTCAGAAATGAATTACAGAATAACAATGAGTGACAAGCTGGACTACGGTACCCAAAACCACCTGTGCCTACTGGAAAGGAAAGCTTTACGCCTCATGTCCAGGGACAGATTTATCCTTTATGAACAAAATGAACCATGGCACATGTGTGCTGATTTTGAGTGAAGAGGGGGCAGCAATATCTGAGGGGTAATTTCATAAAATGTCTTACTGTGAATAAAGCTCCGGATACATTATTGATACCACCTTAATAGCAACGGCCTAAAAATTCTTCCATTTTCAGAAGTTCGACTGCAACGACTGAATGATTATTTTCAATGAGCAGATGTTCTGTTAGCTAGATGTGCAGTTTCAATGAGAGAAATGGTGAATGCACTGCTAGATGCTGATTCTCCATTTAAAGGCACGACTTCTAGACCTTTGGCTCTAGATGCTGCTATGTTCCCAGCGTTACTGCTTTGCTGCTGAGCCAAAAAGAGAAGGCCATTAAGTGCATCCTGAGCTTTAGAAAGAACTGAGACACTCAGTAATTTAATCTGCCCACTGTATTTGTATCCCTCAGAACAATATTGGAGGTGTGGGACCCATCTAGTCTTTCCCTTCATAATACAGAAAATAAAACAAACATGCTTTTAAGTAGCTATTAATGGCAGACAGGCAAACAAATGGGGCTTCAGCCCGGCAC